GTGAAATTTATGTAATATTATAGCACGTAAATGAAACCATTGTACCTCCCAGTTTTATTGTTGTGGCAAGCTTTCCTGAACTGATCCCTTTGGTAATAAATGGGCTGAATGTGTTGTCTCCTGGAGATTTAAAGGCCATTTTATTTCCTGTTGCATTCTGTTTTGCACACTACGTTATAATTGCTTTCAGATAATTTCTTCAAAATTATAGTTTTTCTCTGGCATTGATTGTTGCATGTTTTTTTGGGTACTAGAGCTCACTTGCTTCTAAATGTGTATATAGAATATATAGGCTTGTGTGAGAGATGTTTCTTCTGGAGATAATAATAGAAACACAATAACTGGGGACTGTGAGAAAATGTAAATGTACTATAGGAAAGAAAAATATTTTTCTCTTAGAAGAAAGAAGTTTATGGAGTGCTGTGAGAGGGGGACAGTTTGTTATTTTAGGAAAATACGAGATTAATTTTGTTAATAACAACAGTTATCATCTAAATCACTTATTAGTCAAATTTATTGCTGTACAGAACATTTGAAAGTCTTGTCCAGTCTGTTTTAAGTAATACTTGAGAAGATTCCCGGGTATTGTCTTTGTCAAAACGTCCATGTCTTTATGATCACAGGCTCTTATTAAGTAGCTAGCCCAGCTGCTGACCGCAGATCCTGCAGAATTGCTACTATTCTGCATGAGCATTTTCTTTCATAGTCTCACCTTTAGTAATGCAAGCATACTGAGTAATGCAGGGGTGGCTTTTGTGAGTAATTCAACAGAAAGGATATGTTTTACTACCTATATAAATAGAATAAAATGCTACATTTTTCTTTACAACTACTACTGTTCTGCTGCCTCTGGCTGTTACTCTGTGGATTTTTATGCTATCAGAGATCAGTAAGATTAGAACCAGATAGTACCACAATACGCTGCAAGAGAAAATGCAATGTGAAAGTACTTTCATGTTTATTTAAATTTGGAAAAAAAAATATTTATGGATCTTAAAAGGGATTTTTTTTCTTCGCTTTCTTTTCATTCTGAGAAGAATATTACAGTTGGTTGTTGAACCTAAACGCTTCATGATATTTTTTGATAATAAATTCCAAAACTTTCTTCTTGGCCAAAGCTCCAAACTATATGGTAGGTGTTGTTACTGGCATCTCTTTGTGTCATCTACACAGTAATGACACATCTACTGTGTCATTACTTACTGTTAGAATATTACCAATACGTGGCTCTAGATCCCTTATGTATTGCCACTAATCTATATATTTCCTTATGTATATAGACCTGATCTTTTATGTCACTTATCTAAGCTTTATAAAAATTCACTCTTAAATTTGTTTTCTTCCTGGTTACTTCTAGTTATGTCTAAATGAGGGTGTATTTAGAATTCTGTGTGAACAACATGTGCAATTTTTACCTCTTATTTGTATACCTCTTACTTGTGAGTTGTTCTTTGAATCACAGGGAGAAAATGATAAAATGAAAGCATCTGAAAACAATGATGGGGCACATAATTGACATCAAAAGATGTGCTGGCAGTTTTAATGCAGTTCTTTACAAATCAAATGATATTCTGTTTGAAATGTGTGAAGAGCTATTTGGAGGAAGTGGAGGAAGAAGATGGTGTAGTGAGCTCTTGTTTGTTGTGCGGAATTTCAGCTACCATTCTGGCCAAAAAAAAAAATATATATATATATATATATATAAACAATGTGAAAGATCTCTTTTCCTGCGTTTGCAAGGAATCTGAAGCAATGAAGGAACAGTATGAACTATCATTGTTTTCATGGAGTCCAAGCTCAGATACAACTGATGACAATCAAATTATATTCATTTATTTCATTGTTTACCAACTGATATAAGAACAGAAAAGAATGCAGTATAGCATAGCTGTGTACATCATCTCTCTCTGAAGTGTTTCCTTAAAGAGATGGGCTTTCAGTATTTGCTCATTGCAAGATGTGCAAGGAAAGAAATCAAGTCCTTTGAGCAAGGCTGGGCACACAGCTCAATTTCACTGAATTTATTTGGCCCAAGGCAAGTGATAACAGAGTGCATGTGAAGACAGCATTTGTGTGTGTTTAAGCATCAGTGGATATTCAAACTGGGTACTTGCAAGGGCTTTAACTTAGTTGTTGTGACACCTGAGTAAAGGTCCAGTTCAGGCTTTCCTTGAATTTCTAAATAGGGAACAGAGAGCCTACCCCACCAGGAACAACTTAGATTGTTTAAGCTCCTGCTTCTGTCCATCAAGGGGACGAGGAGGTGCCTTGGTAGCTGCCTTCACATACACAAGGGGAAATTGCCAGCCTGTGAACCAGCTCACAGGAAATGGTAAAGCACTCACACCTGGTGTGTAGCCCAGCTGAGCTGCATAGTAGGATCCTCTGATCAGTCAGTCTCACCAACGAACCACCTCTGAAGGCAGACAGGTAAAGATGGAGGATGTGCACATAGCCAAGCTGTTAAGTGCTTGCTGGCCTAGTTGGAGAGCTCTATTCAGGCTGGATCACTTGAATCTTTTTGTTAGTTGTTTGTGTAGTATGCAACAATGTGGTCAGGTTCTTTGCCGGGGAGGGGGTCATGCATGGGTTAGTGTGAAAATCTGAAGACTTGTGGGTGCAAGAGGTCACAGGTGAAAGGGTTAGATGACCTTAGAGTATTACAGGACATTTTCATAGTGTCTCAGGACTAAAAGAAGCCACAGTACCTAACAGATTAGATTTGCTCTACTTTGGAAGTATGTAATATCCTGTCATTTTGAAACTCTTTCATTTTTCATGGCCATAAGATGATGCAATTTACAGTGGAAAAAAAATCCAGATTGACAGCCCTAACAGATTTTCTTATATTTCCTGCAAGGACTCTTTGTATCTTTGTTTTTAAGGTCTATTTCCCTTCTTCTATATTCCTGCACTATGGGAATAACCTCAATGGAGCTCATAAAAACAGCAAAACAGGTCAATAAATATATGCTTTAGACAGTCTTGCACACGGGCAAAAAATGATCTAAGACTTGATTTAACCTCAGGCCAGTCATGATAGTGAATTGTAGCTGGTACCTAAAATGAGTCAGAGTGGCATACAGCCCTTGTCATGTGAGTATGGTTGGGCATACAAAGATCATCATTCAAAGACACAGTGCATCTCCTGTCATTGTGACTGCTGGGGGCTTTTTTTTTATTATTTTTTATTTTTTATGTAGGCATATAACTAGCAAAACAGGATGAAACAGGGATTCTGCTGCTTCTCTTATTTCAGAATGAAATCTGTGAATTTTCCAATTAGCCATAGAGTAGGAGACAAAAACATTTGATGTTTTTCTGAATGTTATTCCTTACTTTTCGGAATAAGGTCTCAGATTTGACCTTTAACATATTTCTCTGATTTCTCACAATCATCCTAGGAGGACTTTTTCACAACACTTTTGTTTACAACTTGATCTAATACTCCTGGGTAGTACTATGAACACAAAACACTCTCTTGACTCAGTAGCTCTCCAAAGTATTCTGTTTCTCCCTCCCAAAGCCCACAGCTTGTTCTGCAGTTCTTGTCAGATGATGGTCTCAAGCCTCTCCCTTGTCAGTGTGAGCATACATTGATATCCAGTTCAGAGAAGTATCCCATACGGTATTCTCTTATTAAATGCATATAACTTGTCCCTGCTGCTCTGGATTTACCAGCAGCATGTCAACAATTCAATGTGTTCTACTCCTTCTCATCTATGGGTAGATTTAGAAAGTCTTGTTTGTTGATCTTCTAGGAAGTAGAAGAGCAGAGACAAGAAGGAGCACTAGCAGGAAGCTGTGTTTCAGTAGAGCTTAATTTTACTTTAACACAAGATCCTGTATTCCCTGTACTGTGACTTTACTTGTTGCCTTTAAATCTTTGTGTCAGCATTATACACTTGAGGGTACTGCTGAAGAAGTCCCTTCTGGTAGTCTGTAACAAACTTCTTGCAATCAATAATGATGTAGGGTCTGGATCAAAGCCTGTATTGACTGACCACACAAGTCCAAACAATAAAGTAGGTGATATAAGAAGCAATCATAACTTGGCAAACCTATTTCAGTGAGATTTAGTTTGCAACTCCTAGCATCACTAAATGTGGCACATCAACAGTTTTCATTACTGGAGAGTATGCATTTCTCTCCTTTTTTTTCTTGCCAAAGTAGTTATCAAACTTTTCTGAAGTAATGAATCTGACAAGCTGAGGTGTTATATCAAAGGCAAAATATCAGTGTTTCTGTTGTAGATGTATTTAGGAAGAGCCAAAATTGTAGGGTGTGGTGTTTCGTTTGTTTCTTGTTAGTGGTGGTGGTTGATTTGGGGTTTTATAGTTCTTAGTGTCTGTTTCTAGCCAGAATAAAAGAAGTTCCTGAAGGTGCTGTTTTGTGATACAAAGAGCCAGGTTATGCAGATTAGAGAATCTATCAACTGCTCTACATTTGCAGCTTAATTTTATTAGTATGTCAGCTGTCCGTTTGCTTCACACTGGTATCCAACTATTATAATCTTCCTTCATGTCTGTTTCCCTTCCCATTACAGGAACAATCTAATAATGCTAGTTTAATGGTTACTTTTTAAAAGTTGCTTTCCGTGCATATTTCTTCATAATTAGTTGCTAATAGGAAGCCCACTTGGAAAGGACACCGTTTATAAAGGAGTATGCCAGAATGTTTATCTGGCCTTGGGCTGCAGGAACCAGAGGATATATGAATATCCTGCAGTTGTTTTGGCCACGATTATATCGTGGATGGCAGGTTGCCAGTAGCAACTGCAGTAAAAGGTCCAGAGTGTCAGTGTCTTCCTCTGGGTGATAAAACAGAGAACATTTGCACTTTCCGAACTGCCTCACAGAGGATTTGTGGCAGATTTTGGAGGTCTTGAAGAGACAAGATACGGAAGTGGATAAGCTGCTTGCAGGTTGTATGCCAACCTATCCTTCTGTTGGCTCCTCCAGGCCTGGCACCACTGACGCTTTTTTTGCCCTTCTTTCTAGAACATTTAAAAGAGAAGCTGGAGGAATACATGGTCCGTTTTGCCAAAGTGAGGATTGTACGTACCAAGAAACGAGAAGGGCTCATTCGGACCAGACTGCTAGGAGCCTCGCTGGCTAGAGGAGAAGTCTTGACATTTCTGGATTCCCATTGCGAAGTCAACGTGAATTGGCTGCCTCCCTTGCTTAGTAAGTGTACGAGTGTTCATCAGCCACTAAAATTACAGCATTCAGCATAGCTTAAGCAATCAAAACCGTGTCCCGCAATAAGAAGGACATACAATGTATAGAAGTGTTTAGAGCTGCTCTGCAGTTTCTGAAGAGTCAGTATGCTAGAGAACTCAGAGAAACCTGAGCAGCTCCATTTTTTTTATTTTTATTTATTTATTTTGCAACAGAGCTAGTGAAAATTTGAAGTATCACTTCAGCCTATTACAGTTGCATTTTATTATTACTACTACTAAGCATGCTACTAAATCTAGTATTATGCCGTGCCCTTACTATATACCCGAGAACATTAGTTATGCAGGTATCGTACTGCTTCCTGGTCTTCCACATTCCATTAAAACAGCTTTTGCTGTAAATGTATCTAGGACCTCGGAGTTAAATCCAATAACAACTGCATTCGCAAGAGAAAGCTCAGAGAGAATGATTAGCTATTGACTTCTTTGCTGAAATCCAGCTGCAGCCAGTAAAGCTCCATTAGTCAAAGGAATGGAAAGAATCAATTGTAGTCTAGGCTTTCACTCAGGAAACAGTAGTCCCCTTTTCTATACACCTGACTACATGCAAAGCATATGTGCTTTGCAGTGCATTTTTTTCCCAAGCAAAACCAAATGAAACTTCTGAATTTGTTGTTAAATAAATTTGTATTATTTAAATGGATATGTCACAAGTATAAGACAGTTTAGTGTTTCATCAGCTAGTGTTTATTGTTTCTTGAATGTTGTTCTTAGGCTAGGTTTGGCCATACAATAATCTAATAAAGCATTTAGAGCCAAGAAGAGGGCACTGTTCTGGTAAGAACTATCACTTGGGACCAAAAAAAAAAAAAAAAATAGCAACTAGTTTTCTTTCAGAACAATAACAGGAGAATCTACAAAATTCTGAATTTACATCCTTTCTATCTTCCATATCAATTTATAAATCCAGTCTGTCCCCTTGTTACCACAACGTCCTTAATCACACGATCATCCTTTGTAAAAGTAACCTCACTATCTTCGTGTAAAGCCCAAGTGACATGAAGGAGCAGAAGGAAATACAAGTTTTAACAATCTTTCCACAAGCAGCTCTAACAGATAGCTGTTAAACACTGTGAAGTGTATTATACATATACTGTACATATACAGTTTTCCTCTGCTTTCTAATTTTGCCTGAAGGTGCATAATACATCTCCCTAGTGTAAAAAATTCAGGAAGACTCTCACTCTTGTCTGCTGGAATCTTTTGCTAAATTGTTGAAGATTAGATATAGCCTTTCTGTTTTGCTAGTTTAGACATGGGAAAATTGCAGTTGTGAAATCAGTTCCTTTTCTTGCTTTCTTGTCTGAAGTGAAGGTACAGGTAGCTGGGTTTGACCCCATAAAAGCTTTAAACAGAATGGTCACAAAGAATTCATAATTGCAGTTAGGTTCAGTTGGGTATTGAACTGATGACCGCTACCCCCGACTTCAAGCAAGAAAACTGGAAAGATGAGAGAAGCTTCATCAGGGACCAAGACCCAGTTCTCCTCAGCTCTCAATGCAATTTGATCTCTTTCATTCCCTTTTAGTGGAAATACCCTTAGTTAACTAGCTAGAGGATCTGGAAAATCTTGAGGAACACAGGAGTCCAAGGTCAATAGGCTTTATTTTGAAAGAAAAAAAAAATAAGAGCATTACATAAAGAAGGACAAATAGAGAATGATCACGCAGTTAATATACTTAAGAATGACTTGTGCCCTGTTTTCTGAAAGGGAAGATAGAATTGCTTTGAACCATTAGGGGGCAAATATTTACTATCTGGAAATTGGATGACACATAATAGTAGTAATAGTAAAGTTGGTGGCTTGTTTAATTTTGTTTTGTTTTTCTTTGTCTAGTTTTTCAAGTGTTTATCTTAAGATTTGTCTTATGTTTCAATCAGCACTGCATTTAATGAATGTCATTCAAGGAAACCAGAACAGAGTCTATAATGGGTACTTACTGTTTTGAAGCTGGCCCTATTTTAGCTATGATTTTTTTGTTGTTGTTCAAGAATAGTGAAAAGTCCTCAAAAAGGACTTTTCAACCCCATACTGTTATGAAGACTGTCAGTCTTCACTGAGAGCAGCAGTGTTCTGCACTGCTCAGGGCAGTGGCAAACAGCTTTTCACAAAATGAGATCTTGCAAGTTAGAGGATGGGAAAAAAAAAAAAAAGAAAGAAAAACAAAAACAAACAAAAAAGAGCAATCACTTAAAGCCAGGTCTCAAAGTTATTTAGGCGTCTAATTTACATTTTAAGAATTGGCTATCATTTTTCAGACCAAAGAAAGGCCTAGTTATCTCAGTACTTGTTAGGTATCTAAATACTTCTAAGGAGAACAGCCATAGGTGTTTTCTGTGAGTGTGTGTGTGTGTATATATATATATGTATACATATATACATATATATATATACATATATATATTCAGTTACAGTCCTTTGTTGTTGTTTTTTTCTTTAAAACAGGTGCAAAATGGCTTTTCTTTATTTTCTTTAAGCTTTATTTAGTTTATTTAGTTAGCTTAAACAGCATTCTAAACTGAGATAAGCCACTCCAAAACTGAGATCTGAGGGAGTTTTGCCTGATGTTCACAGAGCAGGCAACTGTAATCATGTAAAAATGTTGGCAAACACAGCTGTTTGTTATCACTTCTCAGTAATATAAAGCCAGCAGAGGGAAAACTGTGATTTGAGCTTCAGCTGCAGTATTTGAGCCCAGTGTAGTGAAGAATCACAGTTATCATGGGTTCAAGGAAAGAAACTGAGGAGCAAACCAGCTGAAAGATGCAGGCACATCTTTCTTTCTGCTGATGTTGCTGCAGAAGTAGGAAGAGAGGGGAGATGGAGACACAGATCAATAGTGTTGTAGGCCACCAAAGCCAGCTTTGTCAAAACATTTTTTTTCCTCATCAAGAATTAAAATTACGTCATGCTTAGCAAGTTACCAAGACACCTGCTGGCCATAGCTGTCCGTCTCCATGTTATTATACATGATACGTTACTTGCCAGTGGAGAAGACTGAAGAGCACAAATGCTCATGACAAGTCAGATAACATGAGGTAACTTGTTGAGCCATCAATGGATGGCTCAACCACCTATGGATGTCACCATCCATCATTCCATACATAAGTACAAAAATAAGATTATTTGCAAAGTAGTGTTGTTTCTTAAATCGGGCCAATTTGAAACAAAAACTCAAAATTAAAGGAGTGCACCTTTCTCTTAAAGACAGAACCTAAATTTGTTTTAGATAGTGGCTTATCCAACATTGAAAACTTCTGCTTACTACTACATACATATGCTCTGCTTGATAATAAAATTGCTGAATTCAAATATGTACATATAATTGCTTAAAATTTCAATAGTGAAAACTGAGCACTGTACCCGTGTACTCTCTTAATTCCAGGCCTTCTCTCAAATCTGAAAGATTTTTACACGTACTGATGATGCTTATCTGTCTGCTTTTCGCTGTTTCTGCAACATATTTGCATTGAAATATGGTGTGGATATTTTCAGACAGATAGGAATTTATGAGAGGATGAGGAAGCTGTAAAGTGTTTCCTGTGCCTTTCAGTTTTGTACATTAGGAGCAGGTGGGATAAAGAGCAGCATGTGGCAAAGGCAGCAGCATGTTAACATCTATAAAAGTATGATACAAATACTCTTGTGGAACATAAGCTGCCTGTACAGCCCATTTTTCTGTTTCCTGAATTCATACTGGGGCTACATTTAAGCCTGAGCAGTATGCAAAATTCAGTATTTTACACATACCAAAAGAGGCATTGAGGCTGAATGTTTTGTTACTCTGCATTTTGGTGTACAATTACATAATTTAACAGACTGGTTTCATCAAAAGTCAGTATCTTCCTATGGCACATCATCATCTCTGAAACATTTTAAGGGATGAGAAATGTAAGTTTTGCAGATAACCCAAGACCAGGCACATAAGTATTGTCTTACTTGCAAAAATCTTGCAGTTTTAGGAAGAAAGACTAGGCTTGAGTATGGGTCCGGCTCGAACAGTTTTCTTCCTGGCTATCTCTGCTTGGGACTTGGAGGTTTCAATCCTCCAGTCTATTTTAAGCTCTTGAAGATCAAGAGAAGGATGTCAGTATATTATGAGTCTACCTTTAACCTACTCCAGCCAAATCAATCCCATTTAGTTTCTCTCCTCTAATCAGTTTAGAAAGGGGCGATCAGAGGCAGATTATTATAAGCCCCTTAACTATTAGCAGGACCATCACAGGAAAGAGATTATGTAAAAATGACTTTACATAATGATTACAGATAGCACTACACAGTGTACCAGTGAATGTAATTATATTTGGCAATAGGAACAGTAATGCAGCCATTATGTTTCAGAAGAGTTTCCTAGAAGTTTGTGAGAGCCTGGACATTAAATTTAGTTCACTACTAAAGTATTAGGATGTAAAAACCCACTGAACTTCCAGGCATAGCAATTTCTCACTAGCAGTCAGTATTGTTCCCCTATTTGGACAGTCTCTTAACAATAGCTGAGAATAAATATGAAAGCTACAGTTAGCTAAACTATATGTATTTTTTTCAGTTCAATCCTTCAGAAGCAGGGAAACAAAATCTATAATATTAATAATACCACCAACATTTCCTGCCTTCTGATCCAAATGTTCATTCAACACTCAGACCTCTGATTATTTTTTTTAGGATATTTTCAAGCACTAGTAAAATCTAACCCTTAGAAATTTTTTTTCACATAGACACATAAAAATTTATTACATAGTTTAGAGAATCTGGGCTATCATTTGGAGAAAAAGCTTTACTGTAGTTGGATTTTTGAGATCTTGTTTTTTTCACAGATAGTGTCCTGTCCTTTAATGCCAACACAGCTACAAACTTTCCCTGTACCTCCTCACTTCAGTACATTATTCTTCTGCCTAATTCGTGCAGTTGGCATATTTTCTTTCCTGTTGTTTCTTTTCTGTTGAGCTCTAAGGGATTTAGCAATAAGTTTCACCAAAGGCAGACTCAGGTCCACCCTACTTTTATATTAGAGATGGAATTTGATTTAGTCTCACAGCTCTAATTTTTTTTAAGCCAACTGAAACTGCTCTCTTTATAAAACAGGTGAGTAGGAATAATACCATGAGGCCCTCTTTATATGTCCAAGAAAGGTACAAAGAAAGGACACCAGCCCTGTTTTGTTCCCAGCATTGGAGTTTGCCTTTAATTTGTAGCATTTGATCTTAGAGCTGATGCACACCAGTGCTACGGGAACAGAGGCTGAATGGTTGCGAGGTCTGAGATTCACATTTGGGAACATAAATCTCTCTCTCAGGAGCTTGCTGTACACGCTCCCCACAGTTGAAGGAGTATTTTTATATTGTGCTTGCTGGCTCGTTCCATAGCTGACAGATTGGGGACAGCTCAGAGTAGCAAAGTGACAGAGATATAGATGACTGGACTCCTGTGGGTCTCACAGGGATATGCCTCCCTTTAAAGAACTGTAAATGCTTCTAATCATTGCCTAACTGCATTAAGTCCACTTTAGATAAAGGTTTGATACAGATTTGAAAAATGAAATGATTTGGGGGCCATGGGGAACGAAGCAAGCAATCTTCAAACATCAAAAAACCTGTGGGATTCACTTTGCAGTAATATGACAGATGGCTTGACTAGACATGCCATTTCCTATTTTCTACTTTCATTTTTCAGACCAGATTGCACTAAACCACAAAACCATCGTGTGTCCTATGATCGATGTCATTGACCACAATCACTTTGGCTACGAGGCACAGGCGGGGGATGCCATGCGAGGAGCTTTTGACTGGGAAATGTACTACAAAAGAATCCCGATTCCTCCAGAGCTCCAGAGAGCTGATCCCAGCGACCCCTTTGAGTAAGTAGCAATAAAGGAGAGAGTGGGAACATGAAGCAGAACAAGCAAAGAAGGCAGCTGTAGCAGAAGAAGCCAAGCCCAGGAATTTCCTTGTAGGCTGTACTAATTAAAGGTAGTAAAAGCAAGCAGCTATAAACTTCTAAACTGGGGAAAAGATCAGGGAAACCAGTTGTGAAATTTGCAAGCCGTGGTTAGAAACATTTCCTGAGCTCTTCTGGCCCAGTGGTTGTGTGAAAAAGAAACACTCATACTTGCAGTTAAGAGAAAGTATTAGCATTGAGCAAAGAATGAATATGACTACAATTATACTCATTATTCCCCAGAACACATCCTGAACAGATTTTAGTTATGTTTTCTTTGCTGAAAATTGATGCAATACATGCATCAATTGCTGAGCCTACATTCTGGCAATAAGTGCTTTGTTTATGGCTGATGATACTGCTATTGTATGTGTTCCTGTAATTTCAACACAGGGCTGCCAAACCTGAACAGTGTCAAGCTGATTTGTAAATAATTTTTTACAAGCCAGCCTCTGATCCCAATATTATATAGATCAGCTCATTCACAAGAATGATCTTCTACTCTTCATAAAATTAGATCCTTTTTTTTCTTTTTCTTTTTTTTTCATGTAAGGATCAGATGGGGTTAATCCTCATCAGCAGAGAGAGGACAGGCAGCCAGACATGGTTCAACATGGTAGAATCTCTAGGTCTCTCGTGCAGCATGCATCTCAGCAGCACTGGCAGTGAGACTTGCTTTGATGCTCATGACTGTCTGAAATGTCATGTTGCAAATTTTGGCTGTTTAAAAACTCAGCATTTTCCCCTCTCCAAACAAAACCTGGAAACAATAGCAACAGAAAACCTGTGTCTCTGGCTCAGAGTCTGCACTGTTTGAAAGCAATGGATCTGATTCACTTAGAATATGATCCTTATCTTCAGGGAATGACCAGCCCTTGTACATCAGGAAAAAAATAGGTTATTGCAGCATTATGTGGGCTTGTTTTCATTATTCTGCTTGCTTCTTTTTACTTATTCCCATCTAGGCACATCAGTCTTCATCTTGCTTTTTTAAGTGCTGATGAAATGCTTTCCACCAGCTGCCAATGTGACGACTGTACAGCATGAATGTAGTGAATGCATTCTCAGTGCTCTGGAGTAGTTGTTAGTCTTCCTGGTCCTCTGAAAAGTTGTAATTTCTTGCCACTTACTGAAAGTCACCTAGCATATCCTATAATTTGGTTCAGCATTCAAACTTTGTGTATAACTAAAAGTTACACTGCTAGTGCAAGCTATCATCTGTTTTGCATGTTTGCAGTTCGTTGTATTCATCTTTCAAAGACAAGAGAGGCCTGAAGAGGAGATACTCATAGGAAGGTTTATAGAAGATACAAGACTTCAAGGCATCATGCACTACAGAGTAAATGAAGCAATTTTCATGAACTGTTGTGACCATTGTGGCAGCAGTTGGTACCCACCTTGCTCTGCCTGTGTATGTAAGATGCAGAGATAAATGGCTTCACAAGTAACAACATATAGCACAGTGTGACCTAAAAATCCCTTGTAATTTGATTCTTCCTGATTCTTACATAAATCAAGGAGAGCCTTCCTTTGTTTTACCCATGACAAGATCTGCATCAGAGAGATGCAGGTTGAAAAGCAGTACCATACAGGGAACCACTGTGTGCACCCTGCACATGGGAACAGGATTGAAGGCCATCTCAGCTAGGACAACTTGTTTGCTCAAAAGTACTCGCTGTCTGGAATGGCAAGAGTAGAAATGTGTTTAATGATCGGTATTTTTACTTAGTTGAGGAATTATTTTCTAATTGAAAGTCAGTACTACTTTTCTCTTAGGGCCTTCTTTGTTGACACCTCAAGCTTTTAATACCTTGCTTACAACAAATAAGGTAAATGTTACAGAACTCATGTTTAGATATCAGTAACTTAATTGACCAAGGCAGCTTCTATGGAATTAAAGAGGCAGAACAGTTTTCCTTTAGGTGCATATAAACTAAAGCTAGAAATGGCTTCAGCCAGCACCATAATTATTATGTCACTATTTTGTAAGCAGTGGGGATATTTTTTTTAAATTAAATATTTTGCTATTGGTATTCTAATAGCCCCGTTTCTTGCTAACAGCATTAGATCTGAGCTGATCCTTAATGAACTGGAAAATTGCCAGAGTTTTTAGTAAAACACCAGCAAATAATGGCTATGTGAATCAAAAAATGTGCTGATGAGTTTTTCCCCTCACTTAAAATGCTAGCCCAGTATTTGTGTAAAGCAGAAAAGGTTACATTAGTCTTAACGTACATAAAAACAGATCAAAATGAAGAAGACCTAAGAGTGGTTGTTGTATTATATGTGTGGTGTATTTGATTTCCTTCTGCACATGATCAAAATCCTGCTGCAGCGGGCGTCAGCAGGATTTGTTTTTGGCAAAACAAACTGAAGGGTTGTCAGGTAGGCTTTTGTTGTGACAATAGTTAGCTGAGCTAACATTTCTGGAATTAATTTTTCCTCCTTCCCCTCCCCCGAGTCTAAATCTGTGAATTCCTTGTAGATTTACCTTTTTCACTTGCAGTAGAAACAACAAAAGTGTTATATAGTATTCAACTGAGTTGTCACACTTGCAGTTCATCACAGTTGGCCATAGTGATTTTTCTCTTTTGATGCACGTACAGCTCCACAATACATTCTGAAGGGGACTTCATACAGTTTCCCCTTGATGTGTTTAGGGCTGAGTACCAGGCACAGAGAAAATTGGTTCTGCTTTATTGTGGGAAGTGGTCTTTGTAAGATAAATGTGAAATCATCACCATGTTATGATGATGGCTCAGTGTCTTGAACCCAAGTTCACAGATCATTCAACAAAATGTGAGATGACTTGGGAAGTGTTCTTTTAGTCTGTAAATGGGGAGCACCAGAGATGTTTACACCCTTTGTTGCAAAGTTCAGCTTAGCTTGTCTCTTACAGTGGCTTGTTTCTGAGCCATGGTAGAGGTTTGGGGCATTGCTTGTACACTGATGTTACTGTTTCTCTTTCTGTGGTGCAAAACACTCTAGTCTCTGGAGAAGCTTGCCTAACCCAAGCAGTTGCTACTTAAACTAATAGGGTAACCTTGTTGCTATAATGGACTGTGATATACAGCATGTCAGTTTATATGATTTAATAGCCTGTCTGGGCTAAAAGCTCTGTGGAAGTTTAACACAGGGGTTTGATATGCTCAAGCCTGCTGGGTATGATTGCTATTTATTTCCTGGCAGCAGTTACATAACATCAATTCATGTTATCATGTGCCCTGTCTGAAATAAGGCATCAGTGTCCATTGGTGCCAGCAGCAGCATATTCCTAACCAGACAAGAGAGCATCAACAATTCAGCTCACAAAAAATAATATTTGAAAAAAAAAAAAAAAAAAAAAGCATAATAGATACTATACATATTATTATAACACAGATTGATTAGGATAGGAGAGGGCTGCACAGCTCTTCAGAGCAGTTTTACGGAGGTGTAGGTTTACGATACAGGAGGGAGGGAAAGGTGCAGGTGAAACCTAACAGTATTGCTATGGAACCACAAGTCAGGATGGAGATGAGAGCAGTATTGTGCCACTCACTGGTACCAAGACTTTCAGCACCTAAGTGAGAAAGTTAGTTGTTTTTTTGTATATGAGTACTTCTTGAGTACTCTTTGACAATTTGTTTCTGTAATAGTCACTTTGCCTTCCGATGTAGATCTGTCATCTCCAGACCTTCCCATAGGGAGATGAAGCTGGAGAATCATGTAATTCTAGCAAAGGACCAGAACAATAGTTTGGCAAATACTTTGCTAGCCAACAAATTAGAAGCAGCTTTGTAACCTTTGATTACAAACATTTTAGTTCTTTGTACTCAGTTTCCCATTTATAAAATAGGAATAGAAAAGCTTCACCATCCCACAGCTACTTGTAAAAATACAAGGATACAACGCTACTTTTACAAGGGTACAATTGTAGCAAAAGTTATAGGAGTAAGGTTTCACAGTAGTAAGGGCCATCCATTTATTATGGATGTACTTTTAGTGAAATTTTGGATGTGCTCAAGGAACGCAATTAGGTGTTCAGAACATTGTTCTCTTCCCTTGCATAATAGATGCTCAGCCTTGGATATAACTTATGACCTTAATGTGGTCAGTTGTGTGTTATATTGCTTGGCACTTTCTGTTGATTTACATATCTAAAATCATATTATTACTATGTAAGCTGTTGTAGGTTTGCTCTTTTAATTGAATTTGATATAATCTGTTTTAGAACTATTACTTTTTTCTGCAGTTCCTTATTCTCAGTATTTATATGTACTTTTAACAACATGTTGGTACAAATGAAGTCTTTGCTAAGACCATATTTCAAATCTGACAAGTACTTTTACAATTTTACGATCATTTTCTGAAGTTTAGAAAGTGCTATGGACAATGATTTCTGTTCTATAGCTCCCAGTGCTTTATAGTCTGTGTCTTTTATGGCTGATTTCTGCCTATAAACATATTCATAAAACCTCTCACAACCAGAAACAATTGTCTATTTTTTTTAGAGCTTGAGTGTAATCTACGGTTTTGAACTGTGCTACAGGAATGTTTGAAGCAAAGGCATTATTTTACAGAAAAGCAGTTGCCAACCAGTGTGAGTCTTTGCAGTTTAAGGTCTTGATTTATTGTTTTGACAGACTGTGGTTTGTAGAGGACTGGTAGTAGAGATAACAGTAGATTTTACAAACTCCTCTCCACCTATGGCCCCATAAAATTTTCAGATTTTTTTTTCAGTGAAAAGTGCTAACAATGATGCATACTATGTATATATGAAGATCTGAATATTCCATTAATTTCTCCAGCTTTTGGTGGGATTTCAGTGTAGAGCTTCTGTACGAGCAGTACATTTTCTCCAAAGGCCAGTTCAGGAGAACTCTTTGTAGAGTGCAATGTTTCAGAATAAAAAATACATTTAAAAAAAAAAAAAAAAAA